TTCCTATGTATCTTGATTGTAGATAGTATTCATTTTGGTGATGCTACTGCCAATCCAGAACTTCCAGTGCTTTACCATCATTTCTATACATACCACTGGCAGCGGGATTTGTCTAGCTTAGGGATTGTCAATGTACAAAATGGTCTATTCAGAGTCAGATCCTGAGACTTAAATTTAACTTTGTCATTGATAGAACTATAATTTTTTTTAAAAAAATTATGGTTCTATCAACACAGACCTATCAACATCATTCCTTTTTCCCTTATGAAATCAGAAGTCACTCCTCCTTCCCTCATGAGATAAATGTTAAAAATTAATTTTTCTGAATAAATGAGCCTGCACTGGAACCCCCAAGGTTCTTTGCCACGGAAGTATGTTTCAAAATGACCATCTCGTAAGTTTAAACACAACTTTTCTATTTTTGTGTCCTGCTGTTCAGAAGGATTAGCAGGTAGTAATACATCCCTTTACCCAGAGGACTTACAATAGACCTTAATAGTCTAGAAGGTATTTTTACAATGTAGTACAATATAAAACATCGTTCTTTCACCTTTGCTTTGGACCTGTCCCAAGGGCCTATTCAGGATTAAGTTAATGAGTTTAGCTCTGTAATCCCCCATATCTGGATATGCATTCACATCCATTCTGTCAAATGAATACCGTTTGTTTCATCACGTATGGAGAAACAAGCAAGTTAAAGTATCTGCCTGAAATGGAAGCAAAATAACCACCTTTTTTTCCTTTGCTACTTTGGTAATTTTTTTAAACATAAGAAAAATGGCAGCTATGACATGGAAAATGACAATTTTAGAGGAGTTATAAATGAAAGGCAAAGTGTCATTAAAGTTAAAGCAATGTTATTAAAAGATGTGTTAATTTTCAGTTAAATTTTCTGTAAAAGACCAATTAGTTTAAAAGGCTTGACAGCATTAACTGCGAAACATAAGCTCTGGTAATTATGCTTTAAAAAATGGTTGTGCAAACTGGAAAGCGCTCCCAGAACACTCACACTCAAAAACAACTGCAGCAGAATTCAGTCTCACGGGCTAGGTGGCACTGCTACCTCAGCTATCTATTTCAGAATTTGCTTGTCAATTTCCTATGGTGTAGCATCTATGATGCATTTCCTTTTTTTCCATTACTCAGCACTGTATTGAATGCATGTTCTCAGACTGGCATGATAAAGTTATCATGACAGCCAGCCTGTGGTTCAGTTAGTAAGAGCAGTAGAAAAGTGATTTTCAGTTATGATTTCAGTAACAAACAATTCCTTTTGTTAATTGTATAAAGTGGCTTGCTACCTTGAATGAAGCTGGAACAGCGATGTAGCACTAAACCCATTATCCCCTTGCAAGGCCTGGATATGCCAATTCTTGAGCGGGTCACTCTCTCATTCATTTTTAATATGTTATTAGTTCAAAAAAAGTCTGATCTGGCTGATCGCCATTTCTAACCCTTTTGAGCTTGAGGTGCACCGTGGAAAGATTTGAAGGACGCTTGAGTGCCGTGGGAGTTGCGGGTATGCAAGATTAGGCAGCATGGGTCATCTTTAAATAGCGTTCCTTCTGGAAAGTTAAACTCCTCATCATCTCAGATGTTTTCTGATGGGCAGCAGGCCAGGAGGAATCCATTCTCAAAATCAGAACATTTTCATTCAACTGCAGGAGCATGACCAAAAAGTGTCACTTGACTGCACTCAGCTGTCAAATTCAATGAGAACATCCACATCAGTCATGGTGGGAAACTCAAAGTAATCTATTGTTCCAAGATAAATGTTCTCTGCTTTCTAAATAAATGTCTTCGCTTTGCCTTGACATTTGTCTAGCAGTGGGAGACCATTCTCCTGTGACAGCATTCTGTTCCATTGACAGCGGGCCTGATTCCCTCCTCAGTTGGATCAATTTAACGTCACTAAATCCATTGAGCTTGCTCCTTGGAATCAGAATAACGCCTATTATCGCTTCCTTTTACATGTTTAGTGTTTGTGTTATTGATTTTGTGACAGATGCACTACTTAATATATTCTTTTGCCTTTGCTTCACAGTTTAACAAGAGTTCTTTAGTGAGGTGAATGTTGCGGGCTCAGTCCACCTACCCCGGTTTTTTTCTTCCCCAAATTAAACATGCCCAAGTTTCTTTAATCCTTTCCTCTAAAGGCTTTCTAGACTTGAAGCTATCCTCTGAACACTCTCCAATTTGCTTCCCATTCCTTCCTTAAAATGTGGTGCCCAGAACTGGATACAGCTTCACCAGGGCCAAGTAGAGTGGAACTACTTTAATATTGCCCATGTCTTGCAGTTGCTGAAAAAACCTAATATAGTTAGTTCTAGAAGAGCCACATGGCTCGTAATTTGTGATCCATTATAATGTGATACAACCCCCTCCCCCAGATCCTTTTCTGCAGTTCTACTACCTATGCAGTCAGTTAGGAAGGAAAAATCAAATGCACAACCACAGAACGAGGACTAAGTTTAGGACTGGTCTTTTACTGGATGTCGTCTTATTAATTTCAGAGCAATTCACCAAGATCATTTTTTACTTCTAATCCTGTCCTCCAAAGTGCTTGTAACTCCTTCCTGCTTAGTGTCTGGTCATTACACTTGTACTATTTACACTCTGATATTTTCATTAATTACTTGGAGAACAAATTTTATAACATCCAGGATAGATTCCTATAGGACCCCACTTGCCACTGCCTCCCCACCTCCCACTTTAAGAACAAACTCTTTACTTATTAGCGCTTTAGTTTTTGAAGGCTTTTGACAAAGATTAGTTAAACATGATTTACATCAGTGGTTCTCAACATGGGCCATATTGCTCCCCAGGGGGCCATGCCTTACTTCTAGGGGGCAACATGGAAAAAAAGGAACATTGGGGGGCCACAGTAAGTTTGTGAGGGGGCCACCCAAATGTAACTGCCAGGTATATGATGAATGAGGCTCAGGGGGGGCCATGAGCAAAAAAAGGTTGAGAAACACTGATTTAGTTTAAATTACTGTGTACATAGTGGGTGCAGAACTGGTTGAAAGACCAGTGTCCCGCATGACTGACAGGCTATCGTATCTACTGCTTTTCCCCATTCACTACAGGTTGGACTTCCCTGGTCCGGCACCCTCGGGACCTGACCCATCCCGGATGAGGGATTTTTGCCAGATCGGGGGTGGTCATTTCTGGAACCCTGCCACCAACCCCCTCCAGCCCTGGCCTGACCATTTCCCTCCCAGCTGGCTTTCCTCTCGCTCTGACCCTGCTGCTCTAGTGGGCAGCCCCGCTGCCTCTGCTCACTGGGCTCCCACTGTCACGCCAGGCACTCTGGCCACCTATGTGCACACCAGGCTCCTATAGCAGTGCCCAGAAGCCCCGCTGCCTTCACGCACCTGGCTCTGAGTATCGTGCTGTGCAGCATGTCTCCACATGCTGGGTTCCTACCGCAATGCCTGGTTCCTGCTGCCGCTCCGGGCAGGCCCGTAGCTTCCACGCCGGGCTCCTGCTGCCACACAGGGGGCTCCCACTGTCCTGGCGCTAGCCCTGCACTGGGACTTTCTGGTCCTGGAACATCTGTAGTCCTACTAGACGACAGATGTTGCTGGACCAGAGAGTCCCGGTTAAGAGAGTTTCAACCTGTAGTACAGTAGCCCTGCCAAAGATGGAAAATTGGTTCGTTTGCCATGTTTGTGTCTTGATGAAGGCATGCTGAGATTATAAGGCCCTGGTCTGGAAGCTAGCTCTACTATTCAACCTGCTGTATGACCGAGGGTACGCCACTTACCTCTATGTGCCTCTGTTTCCCAATCAGTGAATTGTAGATAGTGCTCATTACAAAGACAGGGAAGCATGACTGAGATCTGTGGATGAAACGTATAGTTTCAGGTCTAAGTATTCATACTCATCTGATGAAGCGGGGGTTACCCATGTAATATATTTGTGAGTCTCTGTTATAAATAGTGAGCAGTCCTGTGGCACTGTAGGCATCTGGTTAACTTCAGTGATAGGCAAGTATCAATAAGGCAAATCCTTTGATCTCACAAGATTTCAATGAACCATTTTCTCCCTAATCTACTTCATTGTGTGCAAATCTTCTAAAAATACCAGACATCAATAGAATTGGAAGTAATAGTCGCCAATTTTTGGTCGTGGTCATTTTCTGGGTATTCTGTTTTTAAACAGTGCACACTGTCAGTGTATATTTTAGGTGTTTAACTGAGTATCTTTGAACTAGACCAGTATACTTGTAAATGAACTTGAAAGTTATTCATCTGGCATTAAATTAATATTTCAAATGCCCATTGTTTGCCTGACAGCCCAGCAATGCTACAGACGCTGGCAAAACGTCAGTATGGAGTAAATCTTCCCTAATAAACCACACTTATCCTATACCCTAGAGTTTTTTAAAAGGACCACCAGGATCCCAAACTCATCATACATTTATCTGGAATGAACTCAAAATGTTTAATTGATACATGCTTATGTCTGAACACTGTCAAGTCTCGTAATGAGATGTTTAGTACAATACATCGGTTAGACGGCAAGAGTCCAGCCACAGTAATAAGTAACGACATTTGGAGCACAAAGGCAGCTCCCCAACGAATTGGTGACAAGTATAAAAAGGCAGCCTAGCCCGTGTAAGCCTTAAATGTGGTCTGAATTTTACAATTACATGTCCTAAAGCTTGTTATTAGACGTGAAGGCAATGAGAAGGAAAGCAGTCATTGCATCACTACTAACACCAATTATAGGAAACATAAATCATTCAAATTTTTGTTCTTTAATAAAAATCAGCCTGAATTGGTGTTTAAAAGGCAAGATCTAGTGTAGGGGCCTAATGGGATAGAAGAAAATAGAGTAATTGGAGTCTGCTGTCTTTTCATTTTCTATGTAAAATCATTTGAAGAGACAGCCGAGAACTTTAAACAGCAGAAACCCAGAAAAGTTGTAATTTGGATGTCTTCAGTTGTGACTTTAATGGTGTTTGCTTAAAGAGCTTTCTTTTATCTCTGCAGACATACTTCAATGACAATATCCTCACGCTGATACGGACGTTGGTAACAGGAGGAGCCACACCAGAGTTGGAAGCGCTGATTGCTGAGGAGAATGCACTGAGAGGAGGCTACAGCACACCCCAGACACTTGCAAACAGGGACAGGTGTCGAGTTGCTCAGTTGGCTTTGTATGATGGGCCATTTGCAGACCTAGGGGTAAGAGCAGAAAAGAAAAGGCAGCCGTTCCGTAACTGTTGCGCCGTTTGCTGAATTTAAAAAAAAAAAACGTTTCTGTAACAATGAAAGAGGTGGTTTTTTTTTTAATTTCTCCCCCTAAAGCTGTGGAGTCTACTTGAAATTTTGAATAGCTCCGGTGTTACGTTTCTGTTGTCAACACCCAACTTCCCCTAATGGCTCCGTAGGCTGAAACCGGAGATGACAATGTAAAAGGAACAGAGTAGATTTGCAGGACCCATCCACAGAAGCAACCTGAGGAACTCCTTACAGAAACTGTTTTGTGTTTTAATGGGACTGCTGACTTTTTCAGGAAAACACTGGCTCATGGAAGCAATTATAAACAAAACTATAGTTCTTCACAGTATCTGAAGAGATGGGTGAGACAATTTGGATGAAATAAGAGCTGTTTCCCCAGTCTCCTTTCTAAAGCTGAACTAAATCTGAATCTTTGTGGGGCTTTGGTAGCATATTTTTCCCTTTTGTACTCCTGATCTTCCTGGTTTTTGCTCATAAGTCTAAGACCATAAACCTCAGCTAGAATATACAGCAAGGAAGACGATGGCTGGATAACTGTTTTCAGAGAGTAGTTATTAACGGTTCACGATCATGCTGGAAGGGCGTAACAAGTGGAGTTCCTCACAGGTCTGTTTTGGGGCCGGTTCTGTTCAATAACTTCATCAACGATTTAGATCAGTGTTTCCCAACTGGTGTGCCGTGAAACCCTGGGGTTCTGCGAAGCGAAAGCAAGGGTTCCGCCAAGAGCTGGCACTCCCCCGCCCTCTCTTAAAGAGATAGTGCCTCTGTTCAACAAAATGTGGCGGCACAATACTTGGGCGGGGCTTTTTTTAAGGCAACCCTAGATGTTCCGTGGCCAAATAAAATTGGGAAACACTGATTTAGATGATGGCATAGAGCTATTAAGTTTGCAGATGATACCAAGCTGAGAGGGGTTGCAAGTGCTTTAGAGGATAGGGTCAAAATTCAAAATAATCTGCAGAAACTGGTGAAATGGTTGGAAGTAAAGAGGTTGAAGTTTAATAAAGAGAAATGCAAATTAGGAAGGAACAATCAGTTTCACACATACAGAATGGGAAGTGATTGTCTAGAAGGGAGTACTGCTGAAAAAGATTTAGAGGTCATAGTGGATGACTCATGTTAAACATGAGTCAACAGTGTCATACTGTTGGAAAAAAAGGCAAACATGATTCTGGGATGCATTCATAAGAGTCTTGTGAGGAAGACACAAGAAATTGGAGAGGGTCCAGAGAAGAGCAACAAAAATGATGAAAGGTCTAGAAAACATGAGCTATGAGGGAAAACTGAAACTTCCTGCCTGTCAGAGTGCTTAAACACTGGAATAAATTGCCTAGGGGGGTTGTGGAATCTCCATCACTGAAGATATTTAAGAGCAGGTTAGACAGACACCTGTCAGGGATGATCTAGACAGTACTGGGTCCTGCAATGAGGGCAGGGGACTGGACTCTATGCCCTCTCAAAGTCCCTTCCAGTTATAGAATCATAGAACACTAGATTGTGTTGTTTTTAAGTTAAAATCAGAAAAAAAGTGTTTACATGAGTTTTAGCAGGTATGGATTTCTTTTTTTTCCTTCTCCAGTACCTAACATTATTTATAAAGTTCTGAATGTCAAAAAGTATCCAGACACAGAGACAAAATTATTTGAACCAAATCAAATTGCCAAACCTTGTAAATCTTATGGATGCTTTGAACGTCTCCTTACATGCTGTTAGAAAATCTGATTATTTTATAATGATCCAATCTCTGTGATTTTCATGGAACACAGCAGTCCATTCTCTCTGACCAGTACTGGTAAATGCAATCTTCAGTCAATGGACAGACTAAGAAATTACACAGAAGTATTTACAGCAAAAGTCAAATGAAGATTAAAAAACCATTTTTAAACATAATCTGAGTATCCAAATTAAGGATGTGTTTGTTGATCATTTTGATAGGATATTTAAGCAAGTAAAACAGTTTTTGCTTGCTAAAGTGTTGGGTAGTTATTTCATGGGTTTGGAGACAGTTAAGAGATAGAACACAACAGCCATTTTTATGGCAGCGACTCCACAGTTTGTATCAAGGAAATAGGCTGAAATTAACTTACTACATTTCAGTGTTGGGTGTATAAGCCATGCTCATGTGTGGGTCATAGACATTCTGTTGCATTGGCCAGATGTCTGAAACTTTCATTCATTTGGTCAAAGTAATAATTTTGCTCAAACATTTAATAAAATAAGTAGAGTTACTAGGCAAAGAAAAAGATGTGAATAAATTGGAGGACACCCAGAAAAGAGCAAGAAAAAACAAGACCTATCAGGGAAAATTGAAAACACTAATGGTTTGTTTTTGTTTTGTTTTTTAAGTCTAGGGAAGAGAGGATTTAGGGGGACATAACAAAGTTTAAGTACATAAAAGACTGTGCAATTTTTATTCCTCCTCCTTGTAACAATTGAACCCATTACTTCTTGTCCTATCCTGACGGGTTACAAGAGTAAAAAGGGCAGTTCATGTTGGATATAAGGAAAAACTTCCTGTTGGGGTAGTTAAGCACTGGGGAAAAGTTATCTAACCTGCTCTTTAAAAATCCCTAATGATGGAGCTTCCACAATCTTCAGAGGCAAACATCTGTCAGGGATGGCCTAGATAATACTTAGTTCTGCCTTGAAGGCAGGGGGCTGGACTAGATCACATTTTGAGGTCTCTTCTAGTTTTATGATTTAATTGTCAAATGTTTGAAAGTGGGGATCAAGCCTTTAGTGAATGCTGCAATATGTGCATAAATTGGCCATTAAATTATGTAATCTATAGACAAAACATATCTTGTTCTCGAGTATTTGAAGATGTCTTTCACATAATAACTATAGGTTGAACCTCTCTAGTTCAGAACTCCCTTCTCCAGAAACATCTGTCATGATTTCAGGTAGCCAGATTGTCCACCTTATGGGACCATGGGCAACTTGTCCGCACCCATGAAAAGTTTGATTACAGCCACCAATCCTAGCTCTCAGTGTTCTGTGCTGTTATTTAGCTCTAATTTACCCTAAATGTGCTCACAATCAGTGGGCTGGTAACGCTGCTAGACAATATTGACTTCCCATGGTCTGGAAGACTGTCGATCGGCATCTTCCGGGCCTGACTGGTTCTGAACTAGAGAAGTTCAACCCATAAAATCTGTTACAACAGATTCCCTTCTAAAAACTATTTTTATCTTAACTCATAAGTTTCAAGACATAAACCAGACACTAATGGATGGCGTAGGAACTGCTGAGGGAGGTGTAAGGTGGATACCGATAGAATAACGTGACAATAGCAGAAGATGCTGAGAAACCCTATTGGACACGACAGAGACAGTATGGCAATTGATTGGTGTTTATGTTCTGAGAGTACCAAGATACTGGGATTCCGTAGTTAGCTGACAAATTTAAATGACTTTGACATAACTATATGGTAGTTAAAACTATGGAATGGTATGCATATTTAGTTAAATATGAATATTTAAGCTGCATCCAATATCATATCATGTGATGCACCAGAATTATGGTTATGTAAGTCACTACATATTATTACAAACAGGGTTATAGTGGAAGAGCATGGAACAGAACTCCAGCTATCTATGAACAGTCTCCCTACTTGAAAGTCTTCCACAATCAATGAATACAACTATAGAATGGATATACTAATTACTTAAGCTCATCCTGCCTGCATTAGAAGTGTAATCAAATGTTAGCGCTCAGTGTTTTCTTGGGATCTTGCTTTATGAGTCAAGATATATTGGGTCTTTGACGTTTGAGTTGGAGTCAGGATAAACAACAGAGCCTCCAAAGTATAGGCAAGCAAAAGATTACTACCAATTCTTATTATGGAACTAAGCCTGAAATTCAGCTGGAGTGTATCAGCAGAGCTAATCACGTACAGTCATGTCTCATCACAAAGTGATTATTTCTCCCCAAATCATTTTTTTTATTTTCGTAAATAATCTGTGGAATTTCTATGATGAGTTAACAGAACTTTGCAACAAGCATAATTTGATGGATGGGTTCTGGTTCCAAATACTGAATTCATTGGCTCTAATAAATAGTTACCTCCTTAAAATTCTAAGCCATCACCACTTTGCATGTTGTGAAAGAAAAGCAGCAGGAAGAGCATACTCCCAAAATTGGAGCAAAAAGTAAGTCAATCATCATTTTGTTGCAACCATGACCCTCTCAAAGGATGGAACATCTATTCTCTGATTTTAACTGGAAGCGCAAGACTTGGGGACAGAGTCATTCACTGATTGCGTGTTCCCATCAAATAAAATCACTGGCCAGTAACATTCTATGCATATACAATTCAACATTTAAATTAGAGACTTTCTTGAATGATAACCTGCCACAGATGAGAAACAAAAAACAGATTGTGATTCTGGGCCAAGGTGTGACACAGACTGAAAATCTCTCTCCTCCTCTCCCTTTATTTTGTCTCCTAGGATGGTGGTTGTTATGGAGATCTATTTTGTAAAGCACTGAAAACATACAATATGCTTTGTTTTGGAATTTATCGATTGAGGGATGCACATCAAAGTACACCTAGCCAATGCACTAAACGGTATGTCTAGACTTTTATTTCTCTTGCTGATTTGTGCTTCATTCTTCCTGCTGTGGATAATCCAGATGCCCTTAAAATGATTGGTATTTGTGCCTTGTAAACTGTTTCCACCATCCCCAACCATGCTCTGTATCACCGAGACACAAATGCCTCTTCTTTTTTTGGGGGGATACAAAGGGGATTATCACTGAGGCTCACCAAAGAATTAGAAAACAAAACCATTCATATTCTTTGATATGGCTTGAACTGGTTAATTTTTGAGTACCCCTAATAGCCATAGTGGTCTCAAGCAAAAAAAAAAAAAAAAATTGCCTTACCCACCTTGATTCTAATTTACTGCCGATTAAATTTAGTGCACAGTAAATTTCCCCCCATTCCCGAAGCACAAGTAGAATATCTTGGGTTATCATATATGAGACAAAGTAGTAACTGAAATGCTCAGACAGCAGCATATATTTAATTGCATCCTTGCTTAATTAGAAGAGCTCAAAGCATGTCTCTTTCACCAACAGAAGTTTGGTTAGAACACCATCAGGGCTATATATTAACGACACTGCTTTATTACATAATTATAACCTCTTCTCTGTGAGGGGGCTCAGGTTATCAGATAATAGCAGCCACAGTGGTCTGTACTTACTCTGTTCTCTCATATTGCATAGCTGACACCCTTAGGAAACCAAGGAGAAATTTTACTGCTCGGTGCAGTTCTCATCGTTGCCTTCAATTAATGGACCAGGACTTGGCTTCTGCTCAATGAAAGACACAGATCTTCATCTTACTGATATGTCATATTTTGATTGCACAGAAGTCGTCAAAGGCAACATTTCTATGGGCTTCTCTGGCACCAGGATCTGCGCCAATGTACGCAGCAAAGAGGACCATATTCACTGCCGCCACTAAACCATTTGGCTATCAGTGTGCTAAGCTTCTATGAGTAGAGGGTCTTACTTTAGTAGATGATAGCTGCATCACACAACCCCCACTCTAACTGCCCAATATTTCTATCAGAAATGCTGTAGAAAGATTCACAACTAAATGGGTGTGACAAATGTGTCTCCTTGGTGGACAACAGGGTTGCTTATTGGATTGTCACTTCACTTGCTGAGCAGATTAACGGCTAGCTATTCTGTGGAGAAGTAAAATGCTTCGCTCTTCAAAAGTGCCAATCCAAATCTCCCATAAACACTAAATTCACTTCAAAAAATTCCCTTTAGCCCTACCATTTTTTCATCTCTTACTTTCTCTCTCTCATAAAATGCTTAAGTTAAATTGTGGTGGTCTTGATCATTTTTTGATTACTTGAATATCAGTGATACAAGGAAGTAATCAGAGACTGAGGACTTACTTAGTTCCCACCTAAAGAAAAAACATAATTCTGCTGTTGGATACAATGCGAGGCCTGCCTTGTGAAGTCAGTGAGCATCACATGGCCACAGAATTTCACTGGGAGACTCTGTAAGTGACTCCAGCCTTGATTTTTTGAGGGTTGAGGTTAAAAGGCATCTTTTGTTTGCATCTTCAAATGTCGGTGTTGCTTTTGGCACATTTATAAATGCACCAAGAGATTAGTGAGAGACGCATTTTAAATTAACAATGTTTCACTTTACTGCAGTTTATTTTTTAGCTCCGTTCTTTTACAATGATATATATTTTTCTTTCTATCGTGCTCCCTGACTGTACTTAAATAGACCACACGTGTAGTGCCCTCGCTTCTGCAATTATGTAAATGTTGTGTTGCTAGTGCGTTACCACTGGTGCTTGAAGGTGTTAGGTTTCCCCGCTAAAGTGCCCTTGCATCATAAACTGAATCACCAAGGGAGTGGAATGAGTTCTCACCCTGTGGAGAATATTCTGCTTTGACGGTCCCACTGACAGAGACGTCCTCTTTCCTCGTGTCAGGCTGCCTCAGAGATAAGATTTTCCTAGGTCCTCATACGGGCTCAACACAGGCCCCACTAAGGAAGAAGACATGCAAAATTTGTGATAAATGTCACTAGAGAAGACGTTAATGCAACTCTAAAGCCACTTTCTTCTTTTGCTTTTCCAGCTACGTGATCACAAACCCACCCTATGAGTTTGAGCTTGTGCCCACAGACTTGATCTTCTGTTTGATGCAATTTGACCACAACGCTGGCCAGTCCCGAGCCAGCCTCTCTCATTCCTCCCATTCTTCCTACTCCTCCAGCAAAAAGAGCTCATCAGTGCACTCCATCCCGTCAACAGCAAACCGACAGAACCGCAGCAAGACCAGGGACTCCCGGGAAAAACAGAAGTATGTTCAAGAAGATAGACTTTGATATGTGTACCCATCCCTACCCTGTGTGAAACTTGCATCTGCCACCCATTCCTCCCTGTTGGTGTTTCCCTGTTTTTCCCATGGAGTTCTTCTTTTTTGTACACATATTTTACATAGCTATGACAGTGTGCATGTGAGTGTCATTTTTATTTCACCACCATAAAACCCTTAAGCACAACAGCAACAAAGCAGACGGACCAAAAGTTATTTATAATGCTAAGGAGGGGAAAAATCCTAAACCCACAGGCATGCCAAAAGCATAAATAACTCACCGTAGCAACTACTCTACATATCCAAAGATAGAATGTGTTTAGCACGAATGCTTGTTCATAAAGTCAGTCACACAAAGCACGTAATTTAATAAAGAAATAGTGATATATTGGGGCTTTTGTTTAAACACACACAAGATATTAGAAAGCTTACCCGTTGAACAAAAACTTCTACGCTTCAAGTAAAGATAGCGATTGTTTCACCGTCAAAGCTGAAATAGTCTAGTCTTTCACCATCTGTATAGATTATTAAGCACCAGCTCTACATCAGAGACTTGTTCTCTCTAAGGCTAGGTCTCGAGTATGGGGCTTTATTGGAAAAAGTGACGCGCTTTTCTGCCATATGGCCCAGTCTAGTTGGGGCCAAATGGCGGAAAACCCTCCTCTTTTGGTGGAGCCCTTATCCCTTGTGGCATGAGGTATACAGGGCTTCCCGAAAGAGAGCATTTGCTCTTCTGCGAAAAAAAGCGGAAGAGCAAATACACTCCCTGGCTGTGGCGGGATTTTTCCAGGATGCCTCTGGTATACCAGAAAAACCCTGTAGTCTAGACGTAGCCAAAAAGGACAGTATTTTAAAGCATGTCCTTCCACATCTCCTCCCTGTACCGCTGACATTTTCCAGGCGTGGAGTTGTAAAACTTTTAACTTAAAAAAGTGTCTAATTGCATGCTAAATTATTATTCTCACTGTTTATACTGCCACATGAGTAGCTATATTATCCTTCACTTGTGACATTTGGGATGAAAAGCCATATGTATCAAAGATTGGATGTAAGTCTTAAACATGGCAAAAATATTTTTCTGAGCAGTGTTTTAGTCTGAAAAGATACCTTATGTACAAAGATGTCTACAACCTGCCTTTCTAGGACTTTAAGTATCAAAACCAAAGTATCAGTCTTTGGGGGATGATGATAGGCTAGCTTTGGTAGATCTTTCACTGGCCGCTCTAATGAATAGGAGGAAATCGTCGGCTGTGTTCTGGTTTGTAAAGGACGCATGCATTAGGAGAAGCACAAGGGAGAACGATAGTTTCTGTGGGCCTGCAGCATAAGAAGCTGTGGAGGGGTGAGTTACAGAGCACAGCCCACACATGAAACTATATGCCTTCCCATGGCCAGAAGTGAGCAAATCAGAGGCTGTGTGTGCTAGGCTGTTCCTAGCTACAATACTGGTGCAGTATCCTGCCGTTGCCAGAATTAAATACATTTTAGTGGCTTCCAATCCTAGCTGCCCTTTCTTTATTGTATCTTGAAACCTATTTTAAATGCCAGCAGCAGGGGGGACACTTTGAAATCACACTACCTACTTTGTGACGAGCTGCCCAGCCCAATAGGCATGTCTCTAGAAAACCGACCGAGGAGGTGTAGCATGGTAGTTACCCAACAGCAAGAGGTGTTTTTATGGTTAGCGCTGTTTTCTCCTCTCTCCCTTCCCCGAGCATGGTAATTTTAGAGCTTTGCTTGCTGTGTGAATTGACAATGAAGTCAAGCACTTTTACTGACAAAACCTGGTATGGTACAAACGGGGCTACCCACAGTGCATCTGTGCAGTGTTAAGAATAATGATTGGAATCAGAAATTATTGCGTATGTGTTTGTGCATAATTGCAGCCAATTAGTCCTCCCGGTGGAAGATGTTTCAAATTATGCTTGTCCCCTGTCCCAAAAATTCTTGCCTCTGAAGACACACTCAGGTATTCTTTGAAAACAGTTCTGAGGTTTTGCCCTAAGAACATGCATAATGACGAGGCTGTGCCAGTTAAAGTGCTCAACCGGAAATTTGACAGTTTAAAAGCATTGTAAAACTTACAGAGCTTACTTCTCTTTCTAAAGTGCAACAAGGATGAATAGAATGGGCCAAGGTATGACAATTAATGGTTCTGCATGACCTAGCAACGGCTGTGGGGTTCCTTCTCTAATGTTGTCCTTGTGAAAACTTGTGAAATTAAAAAAAAAAGAAGTTAAAAACTTTATTCAGTTATTGGGGGTGTTTTTTAATTGTTTTGCTTTATTTTTTCCCCTAAATCAAAAGTAAAACTGGCTGCTGCTGCTGCTGCTGTTGCTCCACCCTGTTTTATTTTTCTCCTCTCATCTGCTTGGCGTTTAACTGCACGCGCCCTCTGCTAACCATCTACGTACCTATGTAGTAAAAATGTTGACCTGTTACAGAGCTCATTTCACCTTGCCAAATTCTCATTTCCATTCCGCTTCGCCCCCAAACCTTTTAACCAAGGCCCTGAACTTTTTTTTTTAATGTTGTTTCCAGTGGCAATACTGATGTTGTTACCAGTTGCACACTTTTTAGCAGCGTTGCCACCTAACATGCTTTTCTCTTCCCATTTCATTTCATTTTCCTTTGAATGGGGCGTTAATATGGAATCAGTTGTCACGTATCTGAAAAATAGATTTCAATGCATGCACAATTATGCAAATTCTACGATATGATCATTTCTGTCTCAGGCAGAAAGTGATGGACAATGAGAGAACTAATCTGTCCACTTCTGGAACTGAGCAGAAAATGAGACACTAAATGTAAGAGCCTATATCGAATTCCATGGTTTTACTAAGGACTAGTTCGCCATGGGAATTTTACATGCAGAAGAAGTGAAAAAGGATTTGAGGATTGGGCCAAATACATTTTTATTGCTCTCAATATAAAAGCACACTGAATTATATGTAGGAATCTAGCTCAGTGTACAAAATAACCTGCGTGTTGACTATTTATTTTCTTTGCATATGACAGTCTCTAATAGACATATTTTATTACATTTTCAATGACACTATGGAAATTTTCAAAGGCTAGAGAGCCCCAATCTAGTTTAAACAAACACTCTATCATCCCAGAGATCCAAAGCTATCTGAAGTCACGAATAGCTGTCAATTCCCTCTCCCTTCCCCCAACTCCTTTCTAATTGCCATTCCTGGTAAACTCATGCATTCTCACCCTGCTGGTGATTATGGTCCTTATATTTGTAAAAGTAACCAAAAACTACACTGATTTAGCTGAGTTACAGCAACATTTATATGGCTATTCTAGGCCAAATGCATCCAATGTTTGCTCCACTCAAAAGGGGAAAAACTGTACAATGGGTAGAATATTGCAGAGTACTTTTAACCAAAGGTTCTCTTAGAACTTTCATGCATTTCGAATAAAAGATACATAACATTGGTTTAACGAATACTCCTGTAAAGGAAAAGCCAGAGGGAGTTGTATCCCTTATAGGAACAATTAAGTGAAATGCTCAGGTTTCTATGGTAACAGACCTTTCCACAGTTCAGATACTGAGCTTGGTTAGGTGCTTTCCATAAGTTCTGTAGTTTTATGTTCTCTGTACTTTCATGTTCCCCCATAACATGTTAGACTCTGATTGGCAAGGCAAAACAGGAAGGAACTCTTAGCTTTTGCAAAGTAGTAGTGTAGTGTATGGGGCACTTTTGTGTTTGCTGGGTTTTGTGCGTCTATGTCGTGATAAACATTACTTAATGATTGGACATAGCCTAGCGAGCGTATGGGGTATCTGACACTGCCAAGCAGACTTTCACATCCCCAGAAGACAGCAGGCCCTGCCTGGCCTTCCGTATAAAGGCAAAGCTGCCATTAACACCACAGGGAATTATGCTGATTGGGCCCCAAAGACAGGGCTTCTTTTTTGTCGTTGTTCTTACAAAATGCATATGTGCATCAGTTGACAGCACGTTTGTATCATCTAATCAACTGCTAGCTGAGCCCTTCTAACCACTAGTATGTGTACAAGGAGAGCTGCATTATAACCAGTCACAGACATTTACAAATAATGAGAGCCGTTTCACTGAGCGGCAAATTGAGTATCATAAAATACTCCCCTGCCAAACTAACAACCCTGGTGGGTGGTGAAACTTCTAATATTTCTTACTTAGACAATCTCGCATGCAGTTGCTTCCTAACACCACCATTTAATTTTAAATAAGCTGCCTATATTGTTACTTTGTTGTTGCGAGCTGTGGTTTGAAGCTAATGTGTGAAAGGAAAACATTTTCTCGGCTGATACAGAAAAAAATCAGCCGAGCACATAACAAGAATAGGCTCTGACTTCCCCGCTATGGGTGTACAGTATCTTCCTTGCTTGTCCTCAGGGGGTGAAGGTACAGGCATGGCTTTAGGGATTAGCGCCTTCAACAAAAGTGAGACCGCATCTGGCAATGGAAGGGAGGGGGTGGTTAATGCATTGACTAGATGTGGTTGAACCTTGCAAGGTCCATTCATGGAACGCACCCGAACCCCATTTTTCAGGCTCAGTTTTAAAGCAGATGGCATCAGCCCCAAACTTGCAGGATCCTCTGGAGGACCAAATGCTAATGGTCAGATACCCACCTTTCCTCCCCACTTACCTTTGCAGTCTTCCAGAGGGCCTGACTAGTCAACCACATGCACCAGGCAGGGAAAAGGGAAGCTGGCTCCAGGAAGTATCACTTTTCCATCACTGATGATGGGAGGGTTTTTCTAGAGGAGGAAACAGGAAGGGCCCCCAGGTTAGAACACTGGACGTGCCTTTGCAGCTGAACAATAAAACATCTGAACTACTCCATGTTTCACTGGCGGCTGTGCTGGCAATTCTGGTCCAGTGACCTCCTTGGCCAGCTGCTGGAACAGCAGCGTGTTCCACCCTAAAGTACAAGGCAGGGAGTGGGACAACTTTCACTGGAGCATATTTGGATTGGACTGAGGGGAGCATTTCAACAGCCACCGAGCCGTAGAACCTGCCGTGAGCTTAGCAGCTATTCTGCCCATCTCTGGAGACTGACAAATGGGCCGGCAGAAAGTGATTGCAAAGAAAATAATATAATGAAAGAGATCGTGAGGCTTGAAGGTAACGATGCAGAAGAGCTTGCACCTGGCTCTGAAGGGGAGAGGAGTCTGGCCATGATGAGGGCAGAAAAGAAAGATGATCTGAGCAGCTGAGACAGAAAAGGTAAGGTATGAAGCTGCCAGGAAGGGGCTGATGAGTCCCAGCACAAGAGAGGCCCCTGCAAGGGCCAGAGTTTTTGCATGCAGGAAGGATGGAATTAAAAAGAAGAAAATTGAATGTACAAGCATTTTATATACAGTGTGAATGCACCAGGGTATTGACAGTGTCTGTACTTTTAAAGGTCTCCATGGATTGTACGGGGAAGACAAATATATTAGCAATTACCTAGTGAGGCTGCTGCAAATTTCCACGAAAGCTGGGTAGATGGAAAAGCTTTTCATCTGCCGCTGGAAGGGGAGGACATGTAGTTCATTCTCATCCTTCGCACCAACACTCTGTCGTCCTTTTGACACCGACTGAAAGAACTTTCACCAAGTTCTCCCTGTAAACAAAGCGTGTGCAGCGGTATGCAAAAAAAAAAAGTCGGATAAAAGTACACAATGCTTAACTTGCCTCAAAATCATTTTAAACACAGACCATTTGAAAACTGTTAGTTTGAAATTGTTTATGTGATCTTGCGAGGCTTTTAGAACATGATAACCATCACACTTTAAACTAACCTTTCAGAGAGGTGTAATCGTAGATCACATAAAATTGGTTTCCACAAATGCATAATGGTTCGTGTGTCATACTTGAACTAAATGGTTTTTTAAACGGAGCTGAAATTATTTTGATGTCTACACATTCCCAGATATTTTCCCCTACCCCCTTTTTGTAAACCAGCCCCCGTCAGACATTCCCTTAAAGTCTCATTAATAATTCAAATGTTCTGATGACTTTAAAAGATCTTTGGAATTGAAGCTTTTTTTAAAAAAAAATACTGCTTGACAAAAAGATAAATGAATGTAGAAAGAAGCGGTAGGAGTCTGGCAAGCTGTAGATCATTTCAGAACAGATTGTAACTTTATCATTCTGTCAGGAAGAATAATTTAAAGCACTTAATCAGTTAGCTTCACTGTGCAGGATGTAACATTATGAATTCCTATCGTTCAATCTGTTCAAATCAAAGGGAGCTTAATTATAATAGGTAAGGGGAGGGGAGCTTAAACATTGCTTATTTGTTTCCCTAGTAAAGTTGCCTGAGTTTGAACACTCTGACCGCCAGTGAGTACAAAGGCTTTAAGGTGACAGGAGAAAACAATATACAGGTTGAAATTTTCTACCCAAGCACCACGCAAATATGTCGCATCTACAGAATTCCAGCCTATGGGCCAATCCTCTCATTTGTCCCCAGGAAAAACGACGATTCATTTTTGCACGGTACCTCTCCTCTCGCCACTATTCTGTATTTGAGTCACGGGATGCGCAGCTCTGCTCTATAAACAATTGAAGGAAAATCTCTAGTTAAAAATTCTATATGAGAAATCATGAATCTAACGTGCTGTAGAGCCAGGACCAAAGCCTAAGAGGTGGCGGCGTGCTGTGTTTTGTCTCCCAGTGTCCCCCCACTCCCTCGAATCTCAATTCTAAAATTGTTTCCACATTTGCACAAATGGACCCGAAACAAAAGGAAAAGCCTCCCCATTTTTCTTCCCCTTTTTTGCCTGTCAGTCGTCCCTCCCTCTGCTTCGCCTGCCATGCTACTATTCATCATTAACAACCCATTCAGACTAACGGAATGTTGGGGTTAGTCAGCTGATCCATCTGTAGCTGCATGTAATGAGAAAGTTCAGCAGCATTCAAACAGCCATGATGCCAGGGTCCATTCCTAGATGTAAGAGGCAAGGCTTTGGTGCTATCCCCCCTTTGAGGTCGCTTCCAACCCTAATCTTCCGTGAAAGAGGTTCAGAAGGCCACCTGGTCCAACCTCTCGCATGAAGAAAAACTCACCCTGACTAAAGCATCCCAGCCAGGACTTTGTATTCTAGTGCCCAACCCCGCAGGAAGGAATTGAAATGTTTCCCACATCGTTAACATGGTTTTTCAGCTTTATCCAGCTCTGCATTTCTAGCAAGGGCTGGAAGCAGACGTACAAGAAACCCTGCACTGGTGTGATTCCTGAGCCAGTTGTGCAGACCCCACGAGGTTGACTTTTCAGGTACTGCCACAAACCAAATACAACCTCCCAAACCTTAGGAGAGGAGCCCAACACTAACCCCAGCATGCTCCGAGCTTCTAAATGCATCCTTTTTATTTCTGATACTTGATCAGCACAGCACGTCACATGACTGCATTAAAAAAAATCTCATACAAACACCCCAGCAAATTGCCAGTTTTCCTTAACCCTTTACTATGAACCCTGCAAACATCTCCTCCTTTTATAATATGTGTTCAAGTGTACTAAGCTACTATACTCTGCTGCTAGCAATTATTCATTGTTACCCTCTGTTGATTGCCTTTCCTCTATGAACGTTACTGACTGCTTTTTGCACCGCACTAATTAAACTTCTCTTTTTCCCTCCTTGTTCTGTCTCTACCCATTTTGCTCTTTAGCAGAAAAGAAATGGTTTACAGATGAGCCGGATAATGCCTATCCCAGAAACATTCAAATCAAGCCCATGAGCACTCACATGGCCAATCAGATCAATCAGTATAAATCTACAAGCAGCTTGATCCCACCCATCAGAGAAGTTGAAGATGAATGTTGACTCACAGAAGGCCAGAACTATTTTTTTAAAAGCAGACTTCATGAATGGTGATGTGACATTTATTCCTCTTACATGCTGACCCACGGGTGGAAAAGTTACGAAGGGCGAGCGTTATGGGAAAATAAAGTAGACAGATCTTTGTTTGTCTGCCTTTAATATTGCTTCCATGTATTTTGGAAACTATTTCATTTATAAATGAACATAATCAAAAATAATCATATATAGCCTCTAGCATTTTAAATTATTTTTATTTATTAGAAAGAAAATATATTTTTCTTTTTTTCATTGTCTTTTTTTCCCTTTAAAATAGCTGAATATGTGGCCAGACTCCTAAAAATAATAATAAAAAAAATCTGCTCTTGCTGACTCTCATATCTGAGGAGAATGATGGTCACAGTTATGAGGAAATGTAATCAAGGGAGATACATAATATATAAAAAAATACAAGGTCCAACTTGCATTTTAGTAAATCAAAAAAGAAGAAAAAAACCTCCAAACAGTTCACCAACATGTTTCTTTACTGGAGACTATGTATTTTGTTCAGCATTGACACCAGCTCTTAATAAACTGAAATGTATTTATTTTCAAAGCCGAAAGTCATATTTTTGTAGAATTAACATTCTCTCTGAACTATTCATCGTTTTATTACCATCCACAGTGAAGACGTTCCTACAGCTCATCTCAAGCGCCGGTAAATTTAAGATCCAAAACCATGCATTGGTACATTTCTATGACAATGGGTAGTGACCATTAGTGTAAAACAAAGGGCATGCAGATAAGATGCACATAGTGGCACTTTCTTTGAGGTTGCAAAATGTGCAATTCTGCTTTGCTTCACATTGCATATTATCCATCAGCACTTGCTGACTCAAGGAGTTCAACCATGGAAAATCCTCTTCTTTTGCCAGGTTTCTGAGTACTTTAATCCAGGATGTCTAAATAGCACACAAGATCATGATATTCATAACCCACACATCTACCAGATTGCACTTGAGTTCTTGCTTAAAACTACTGGAGTTGTGCCTGACCCAAACCCTACCTGATCCAAACGCTCCTTTAAAGGTGGCAAAGATTGGGTCCATAGCAGAATTTTGCTGATGGCCCATCTATCAGCAACAGACCGAATCAAAACCACAGCTCTGAGCACACCTGTATTTTTGGTGAATTCAGCTCACAGCACAAACTTTGCAGCTCAGGCTTTTGTCTACAGTGTCTCGACATCTTGTTGCCAGTTAATTTTGGTAAAAAATGTCTTAAATGTTATTGTTTGCTTGTCTTTTTAAGTTGCTGCGACTCCACTCAAAGGTACAGTGAAAACCAAAACAAAACAAAAGTAATGAATGTATTTAAGCATGATAACTTACAAAAGGCCTTTGAAGAGCTGTCTACAGTAAAACCAATTGTATTAGCAGTTTCACAAAGTGGCCAACAAGCTTTACAGCCATCAGACAAATATGTGATATTTCATATCTGTGCTGCAGTATGTATTCACCTAGGCATTTGATGTTTTAAGCAAGTTAGCAACTCTCAGTTTCAAATTAACATTTGATGCAACCAGCGGAGCTATCGAGGGTTTAAAAAAAAAAAAGGCCCCCATGGGTAAAAAAAGATAAGGTCCCATTGTGCCAGTTAAGTTTAGGCTTTGTACTTTTGTACAGTTGCAAAACGCCAAGATAAAACATGTTGTGGTACTATTAACATTAGCGAAATATCAGTGAATCAGACACATACAAAGCAGATCGATTTACTGTGAAAAGAACATCCACTATATAATCCAACATTTAAGCTAAACTATCTCAGCGTCAATGTTTGTTCGCTGGCTGCAGTACAAATATAACCATACTGCCACCTAAACAGGCTTTACTCTGGAGTGACTTTTGGGACTGTGACTACTTTGTTGTTACCTTTTGTAGAATTAGTTATTTTAAACAAAAAATTAACAAGAATTGTGAATATAATGTATGTAAAATGGGATTGTTAAAAATATTTATACTCACTATCCTATGAAGAAACAAAATAACTTGAGCCGTTTTTACGCATATTTAACCCATTTCACAAAACCCCAAATAAAGCAAGAATCTGGTGGTTTTGATTTGTTATTACGTTAGCTAACGGCAGCTTATAATTTGCATTCTGATTTTGCATTGGGTCACTTTAAACCTTTCCTTTCAAGTCAGTACTCCTTTTTCATTTGTGAACTGCACTAATTTTATTGCCAGAGGAGTAAAAAGTTGGCATCAATCCCAATAGAATTGTTGAAATTGATGTCAATCTTAGCCAAAAAACATTTGATTTTTATAGGTCACTTGTTTTATGGCTGGCATAGGAAATAATGTGAAGTACTCTTAAGTTGAATGTTACAGAAGTAACTGTACACGGTGCCATTTCTTAGCATCCTTCCTTTCTCATGTAGAGGACATATTTTTTATTGAATTGTAAAAAAAACCTCACCTGCATTGCTAAGGCCTGCATGTCAGGGTCACGCTGTTATGGGGTCTACGTTAAAAAGCAGATTGCCACTATATAACTAGGTCTTGGGCAACACGAAAAGCAGTTCTATTAATATAGCTAATTGCAATAGCACCCATTTATACCATCGGATGTGGGGGCTGTAAATAATTAACAACACACATTTCTTAAAAACATATGAAATCCAAACTTTAGACTTGCTCCTTCCTTAGATTACTAATGAGTTTTTAACAAACATGTAGTACAGCTGTGGTTTGGGTTTTCAGGCAAAGAAAGTGACCACTGTAATTCACGTACAGTGTACTGAATTCAGCAAAACAAAGTCTATGGGGCTACATGAGAAAATCTGAAAGTAGGACAGGAAAGTTCTAGGTTTTAGGTCAGTGCTACTCAACTTTGGAATCCCCGGGGCCACCGTGATACTCTCAGCACGTGCCACAACTTAAGTGTGGTTGCATAGACATGCAAATATATATGCAAATAGCTTCTTTCACACTGACGGGCATGAATACAAAGATTACGGCAAGACTGCACAACACACAGGCCCCATTTAAGTCGGTTCTGCTGATATTAATAAAATGCAACAGTTACCCAATTTCCACCCATATGACAGTACTTTTAATGAGCAATGACAGTCCAGGAATTTAACTACTTCAACGCATATCAACAAAAGATCATTATACTGACTCACCATTGTGTAGCGTGTTCCCAGTGAAGGCCATATTCAAATGATCCCACCAGCGTGCTGTGTGTAGAGCTCCGCATAAACCCAAACCACACCACGGGCCGCATGTTGAGTGGCCCTGTTTTAGACCATTTGACTGTTTGGTTGTTTTTTTAAACCCAAAGAGAGGCAAAGTGTGTGCATCTGATGGCTTTGTACTTTGAAGAAATGGCAGGTCAGATCCAGGACAGATACAGCGTTGTAGGTCAATAGGGCAGTAATTCGTATTTGATATGTCCTGGCATAGCAGAGGGATCGATTGGGACAGGTCTAATACTAAGCCAGTACTTCATTGGTCGAAACGGCAATACAATGTGTATATGAGCGCGTGTGTACGAGTCATCAGGGTTCCTTGAGCAAAGTGACTACTGGAATGTGACAAGGCCTAATTCTTATTTGAGCTAAACATGCCCAACTTCTGCTGTTTTGAATGTTAGCCCAACGCATCCAACTAAGAGCAGAGTGATAGATCAGAATCACTGAAGGCACTGTTCACCCAGAGGCAGGGGGCTAGCAAAAACGTTCTCAGCAATAGCTTAGCTGCCCCACCCTCTCAGACGTGCTCTGTATATTAGCAGGTATTCAGGGAGAAGCCCATGTGATCTGAAGTCATAAGGACTGAGAGCAGACCTAAGGATCCATGTAATTTGCATGGAGGAGATGTCTCTATTCCAGCCCCGAGGCTGGAGAGGCAACTGAATGTGGGTGGGCGGACAACACCAGCCCACGATAAAGGTGGTGGAAAATTTTGCATTATCCCAGCCGATGTACTATTTAGCCAAATAAAGCCCAATGGCTTAGATTTTTTGCTGCATCAAGGGGGAAACAGAGGAGGCTGCCTCGGAGGGGTTAGGCACCCCATCTATCTGTGACATTAAGGATGAAAAATTCTTGTCACGTTAAGAAATAGATGACTGGCTGAATGAGGCATGCTGGGTTATAAGGGAGACACCTTCTCCTCTCCACCCACATCTTGGTAACGTGCCATGGATGGGAAAGGAAGTACCAAAAAATGTATTACACATCTAAAAATGTTCTATTTTAAATTAAGATCTGATAAAATATTGCAGAGTACAGCTTGGGTCCTTTAAGGGTCTGAAGTACATAGAGTTTGCTTGGTGCATTTGTTTTCTCTCTGTCTGTGAAACTGCCTTTACTAATCAGATTCATAAATTATTGCACAGCAAGAGCGATAACTTAGAATCATAGAATAATAGGACTGGAAGGGACCTCAAGAGGTCATCGAGTCCAGCCCCC